GGACTTTGAGAATGGGATTGACGGGGGCTATGATTCCGTCTTCCTCTAGCATCCCTTCTGGAGGTATGTCGCTGAGGCTCCAGATTTGCCATGGGAGGGACAGAAGGTAAGCCTTCCCGCCTTGCGCCTCCTTCTGGAGTTAGTCCGTCGACGGCGGACTGTGGTAGTTCTTCAATGTTTGCCATTGATTGAGAGAAGGAGAAGCTTAGTCAAGAGGTTTTTTGTTCTTGTCTGTTGTTCCCACAGACGGCGCCAATTGTACGGGGAAGAAATAATTCTCCTCGTTTCATTTTTGGAATTTTCTTCCATTATTGATATCTGATATAAATGTGCTCTCTTAGGCATGGAAACCATGGATTGAAGGGAATGCCATCCAGCTAGTCGATGAAAAGTTGGAAACTTCAGCAATGTTGACGTTAGAAGTATTAAAATGTGTACAAATTGGTCTCTTGTGTGTGTAACAACGTCCCGAAGATAGGCCGGCAATGTCATCTATGGTGCCAATGTTGGATAATGGGAGTGCAATGTTACCTTGTCCTAGACAACCCGGATTTTATACAGAGGAGAGTAGTGATGATATAGAACTTGCATCGACTGTAGGAATAAAATGTTCTGCAAATGAGACGACTCTAATGGGATGATGAGAAATTCCAATTAAGGCTTCGTTTGGGAAGCCAAGTTTGAGGCTTTTTTAGCTATTTTAGCCACAAAAAATAAAACAATAAGATAAAATATCACATCAAATCCAAAATCGTTACATTTTTTCTTTCACAAAAAAGTCAAAAGCTATTTCCAAACGAGGCTTTTTAGACTCAAGCTAAAATAGTCAAAAAAGTCAAAAAGCTAAAAAGCCAATCCACTTCCCAAACGAACCCTAAGCATATTAGCTCGTAGTTATTATTATTATTTTTCAATAAGAGTGTTAATACCATATTTGATAATAGTCTTACCGACAGATGATATATAAGTTTCCTTGTTTAATAGCAAACGAGGTAGAATGAATGACCAATTTTTATTGGCCAAAGACTTTCCGATTCTCCTCGTATAATCCTGTTGACCAAATCCACGCTCCTCCGTACGACGTCGCTTTGTCACCTGAAAACACAAACGTGAGCTAGCCGGCGGGTGTGTGCCGGAAACCTCTCCGATGCCTAAGTCAGAAAACTTGACAAATAAAAATCACCCTCTCAATTGGCCAAAGACTTTCCGATGCTCAAATAGTACACTGGTGAGAGTTATGCAATCAGGGTTGGAATTGTTGCATACTTCCTTAGGAGTTAGATGAGATGGATTTTGGATTGTGATCCCTTATTTCTTGTTTTGATTGTTTTTTGGAGAATATTCTTGTTTGACAGTAAACGAGATAGAATGAAGGATAAAAGACAATTTTAGTTCTCAAAATATGCGTTTTTTTTTTGTCATTTTAGTCCTTTAAATTTCAATTTTGTCATTTTGGTCCTCAAAAACTTGTCAATTTGAGTCAACTTGGTTTTACGTTTAACGTTTGTTAATAGAAATATGAATAAAAGACAATTTTGGTCTTTAAAGCATGCATTTCTTGTCATTTTAATCCCTTAAATTTTAACTTTTGTCATTTTACTCCTCAAAGTTGTCAATTTGTGACAAAAAATGCATTCTTTAGGGACCAAAGCTATATTTCATTCATATTTCTAATAACGGACGTTAAACTTAGGACTAAATTGACTTAAATTGATAATTTTGATAACCAAAATGACAAAATTAAAACTTAAAACGAATATTTTAGGGACTAAAATTGTCTTTTATACTAGAATGAGTGATCGATTTTTATTGGCCAAAGACTTTCTTGTTGTGGTGTTATTGTCAATTAATTTTATGTGGTTTTAAAGATGTCCTTGTAAAAAACTTGACAAAATGTGTATTATTTTTTTAGAAAATTCTTGAATCAAGTCTTTCTTCTGTATAATACATTTCTATTTTGTTTGTCAAACTTGCACTAATTTGTATAATATACACGTAATTTGCATAATACATTTCTATTTTGTATAATACACACGTAATTTTTTTAATAGTAAATTATGATGGTAGTCCTTGTATATTCAGTCATTGTAATTTAAATTGGCTCGATTTTGACATTGAATTATTATTTTATGTCAATTTGATCCAATTAGTTACAAATTTTAGCATTTTTTTAAAGAAAATATGCACGTAAGTGTCGTGTGTTATATTTTTAAGGGTAAAATTATAAATTTACTTAATTCATTATGTTAACATCAACTAATTTTAGTGATAATTTTTCTTAAAAAACACTAATAGTATTATTAATTGAATCAAATTGACGCAAATCTATAATGAATGATCAAAATCAAGTCAATTAAAAGTGGAAGAACCAAAATGATACAAAGAGTAAAATACAGGAACCACCGATCTAATTTGCTCTTTTTTTTTAACTATGCAATTTCCTTTTGTTATTGCTTGAGTTAACAGGTTGCATCCTAGGTCCAATCATTGATTTTCTTTCATAAACACAAGAAGATAGTGAAAAGAATTTAAGGATAATTTAGAGCGGTTATTCTGTGTCACAACCACTTGCTATTACACAATTTGGTAGAAGAGATAGAATTCACGATTTTTGTTGAGTGATAAGCAACAAGAGAAGGTATAATGATTTGTGATTAATTTGTAATGTGTCATATGATATCCTAGATGCAGTAAACAAATTTTTTTTTTTTAATGAACCTCTGCTCACAATTATAAAAAAACACAACGATTGATATGAAAAATTATATCAAATTTCACTAAATACAGTACACTTACAATTATACATTAATCAATATTAGATAGATGAAAAAAAATAATAATAATGTCATCAAATATTAAATAAAAATATAAATTTTATCCCTAAAAGTTTATTTTAATACTTTTAAACAATTAAAAAAAATTTGACAAAATTGCACCTTCCTGAACCAGTTAAAAGTTACCCAAAACCACCAAATCGTTACCTAAAAAAACCCACCAAAACCTTCACCCTTCAATCCAACAGCCACACCTATCAATTTCTATCTTTTACATGCATTTTGTCAAACACCTTCACCATATTTGGTTTGTTTGTTGAGAGATAATTTTTGTGAATTTTTTAAAATTTTATTTAGTTGAAAATTTAAAAAAAAACAAATTTTAAATTACTTTTCTCTTTACTACACACTAATCAATAACTTTTTCTCTCTCTTCACTCATTTTTTTACGTTCTACGCATCAATCAATTAGTTTTCTCTCACACTTATCTATTCACCTATATAAATAAATAAATAAAAAATTATGTAAATGGTCCTTGTAGTTTACGCGATGTGTCAATTTGATCTATATTGTTTTAATTTGCTCGATTTTGTCCTTTAATTTAACAAATTGTGTCATATTGGTCCAATAAATAACTGCCGTTAGGTTTGGTGGACGGAAACTCAAACGATATGTTAATTTGGTCCCCGTAGTTTACATGATGTGCCAAGCAAATTAAAACAATATGGATCAAATTAATACATCGTGTAAATTATAAGGACCAAATTGACACATTTAAACACGTGACGACTTTTCGTCCACCGAACCTAACGGCTGTTAGTTATTGGACCGAAATAACAAAATCTATTAAATTAAGGGGCAAAATCGAGCAAATTAAAACAAGATAGACTAAATTGACATATTTTGTAAACTACAGAAACCATTTACATAATTTATCCAAAAAAAATAAAAAATCATCTGAAGGCTGTGATGTCCCGGGTACTTTACCCAATTGAATTTCTATTTAATTCCGTTTAAACACCTCGTTTTCAAGTGTTTGATTTTAATTTTGAGACCTCCAAATCCGTGTAGTGTCACCACACTTTGTAACTCTCTTGTTTTAATTTTCTAAATTACTTCTGATTTAAAGATTTGAATTTCGTATGTGAGGTCGGAATCAGAGTGTGGGAAACACCTTGGTAATTGGTTTTGAGCCACCAGGTTTTCTCGCACGTGCAGATTACTACAAGTGTGGATTGGTTTTCTGGGGACTGGACTGCACGGGCGGAGGCCAAGGCCGCACGTGTGGGGATTTGGAGTTGGGATGGTTTTTTCTTTTGCGTGAAAGCACACGTACGGCCTTGGGCCACCGCATGTGCGAGAGAGTCGCATCTGTGGCCAAGGACTCCATACGTGCGAGGTTTCGCATTTTTGTTTCTATTTTTTAGTTCATTTCACTCAAATCTGATCCCAAAACCCTATTTCTCTTATTTTGATTATACCTCTCTCTATGTATCACTTTTCTCTCTTTTCCTCTCTGTACAAAAGTAATTGTAGTTGGTACAGTCAAACAATATACTATAAATAATTCATACAAATAATTCATACATTTGGCAAACAATTTTAACATAAAAAAAAAAAATTTATTTCTCCAAAAGCAACTGCAGTTAGTGTAGTTAAACAATATACTATAAATAATTCATACATTTGGCAAATAACCATCCATCCATTACTTCTAAATAATTCACCAATTAATTTTTTTTCCCTTTAAATTTTGTAAACCTTCATTTTTAAACTGCTAATACTATAATACAGGTTTGGTTCACTAAAATGAAATTGAATTGAATGATATGTGCCCTAGTCTCTTTATAAAATGACTAGTCCCTTCACATTGGTGAAAGATGATTTCATTTGTTATTTTTTTTAATTATTGTTAGTAAATCAAACGTGAGGATGGACATATCTTCTAAGAAACTCCAATATTTAATTACAGTCGAAGTGTTGAAAAAAATTGGAAATAATGGAACTGTTGAAATGGGAAAACACATAACAAAGTAACATCTCAACTGCTTTATCAAATTTCTATAGCAGTGATGTGTCACAATCTTATTCTATTGCTGATTTCCAAGTTTTGAATATTATCTTCCTCATTGGCCCGCATATACTGATTTTTCTTATAGAAATAGCAGTATACAACTTCTATTGACTTCGTTCGCCATTTCCCAGTAGTGAAAAACATTGTAAATTTGGTGAGGAAAAAGAATACACATGATAGCATCATCATAATTTTTGCAAAATGATCATGGGAATCATACTTTTGGCTATTTCATATTACTTATCTGCCTTTGTTTTAGCAGATGACATGCTCAATCAATACCAGCAAATCAATGACAGTGGGGCATTAGTATCTGCTAGAGGAGATTTCAAGTTGGGCTTCTTCAGTACAAGCAATTCGAGGAGCCGATACTTGGGGATATGGTATAACAATATCCCAGTTCAAACCATTGTTTGGGTGGCGAACAGAGACAGACCGCTTAATGATTCATCGGGTGGTCTAAAGATTGGGGATGATGGAAATTTGATCCTTCTTGACAGTGGAGGAATACTTGCTTGGTCTACCGGTATCCAGAATATATCGTCAAAGCCTACTGTTGCACAACTCTTAGACAATGGAAATCTTGTTTTGAGAAATGAAAATGGTGGGAGCACAGAAAGTTATATCTCGCAAAGCTTTGATCATCCTTCAGATACACTGATAGCTGGTATGAAGCTGGGATGGGACTTGAGAGTTGGTCTGGACCGGTATTTGACATCGTGGAAGAGCGCAGATGACCCTTCACTTGGAGATTTCTCTTATGTGCTTGATCGTGATGGTCTTCCACAAACTGTTATACGTAAAGGGTCTGTTAAGCAGCACCGAAGTGGGATATGGAATGGTCTGCAGTTTAATGGAGCTGAGCTTAAAAACTCTATCTTCAATGGTAATTTCATCGATAATTCAGAGGAGGTGTATTACGAGTTTGATCTATATCAACAGCTAACAAGGTTGATTTTGAATTGCACTGGGACAATACAATGTGTGATATGGAACAATAGGAACCTTGAGTGGGTTGTCATTGATACAGAACCTAGTAATCCATGTGAAAATTATGGGCATTGCGGCCCTAATTCTATTTGCACAATCTCTAATGCTTACATATGTAGTTGTTTGGATGGATACATTCCTAAATCATCGCAAGATTGGAATGCGTTGGTTTGGGATGGTGGGTGTGTTCGCAAATACCCATTAAACTGTTCGGATGGAGAAGGATTTGTGGCATTCGAAGGCGTGATCGTCCCTGATTTGTTAGATTTTTGGATGAACACCAGTATGACAGTTAAAGAATGTGAATTGGAGTGTTTTAAGAATTGTTCCTGTACTGCTTATGCCAACTCCGATACTGCTGGAGGGGGAAGTGGATGCTTGCTCTGGTATGGGGATCTGATTGATATTAGAAGCTTCCCAAATCCTGGTGATCAAACTCTGTATATTCGTGTAACGCCCTCAAAATAATAACAATAAACCCATCAAATGAGACATGCATTGCCATATAAACTAATCACATTCTTTTATTCGTTAGTGTTGCATTACATAAGTATTACATGTTAACATCAAAACAAAATGCCCTACGGGCTTACAGCTTTCCAAGTTAACACTTGGTTACAACAAAGAGTACTAACTCGTTTACACATTAAGCCCTTGGCTTGAAGTTACATGTAATACATCAAAAGTAAAACGACAAAACTATGTCCGCCTCTAGCCTCCCAAGCTATGTCCTTGGAGGTGGCATGCTTCCTGCACCTGAAAATGATATTCCCACATAGGGTGAGCCACAGCCCAGCAGAAATACACTAAACCAGCTATGAACAA